CCGCCGTCGCAGCACGCGCTGAACGGACGGACGGACGGACGGACGGACGGATGAATCGTGGAGGTCTGAAAGCAGCCAATACGCATGGGGCCCATGCAATGACTTGCGGTGGCCAGTCGATTCCCAGGTCAGTGTTCTTATTCTCTCAGTCAATTTGATACCAATCAAATGAGAGATGAAAGTTTTGTTCGTTCGAACGCAGACATCGGATTCGAAATCTGATCCCCTAGCCATGTGTCTGTGATGGGGTGTTGCCTACAGCTACTTTACCTCTGCCCGATTACATATAACAGTATGCTAAGAAAGGGAGGTCTGGTGTCTGTGCGCACGTGCGGGTTTGACCGGAAATTCATAATTCTGTTTTACACTATTTTGCCGTACAGGTTTTTTTATTGTAGAAACCCTTTATTTGGTCGACGTTTCAAGCAAATCTTCAGGGCCTGTAGGCAGTTCGTAGCTCCCTCACCCGACCAAGGGCCCAAACGCGCTAGTCCAGTTGCAACAGTTCCCAAAAATTGAACACCAAGGGTTTCTCAACGGAGAAACCAACCTTCCGCGTTCGGGAGCTTGGATGGGAAGCCACATATCAATAGCTCCGAAATGCTTTCAGGTTATGAAGACGGCGATTTGTTCGAAATGTCGACCAAATAAAGCGGTCTCTACCATGACAAACTTGTACGGCAGAACAGTACAAAACGTTATGCAACATGCCCAGGTCTCAAGAAGACCGAACGCGGAAATTCATAATTTTCCCTGAAATTTCCACTCGACAGAGAGCGTTCCAATTCGAGAGGGATTCAGGCGGCTCGGTGGAAAGAATGCTGGTGGTGACAGGGTGACAACAAAAGGGAAGTCGCTGGAACAGTTTCGCCTTTTGTGTTTAACCGTTCACTTGTTCTGTACAATCTTTTTGGCGAGCATGGCCTTTCAGCTGAGCTGTCTACAGTTCGAGTCACTTATCTTCTTAAGTAAGCTTGAGTGATTGATGTTGTAAATAAAGAAGCACAATGAACTACCTGCAATTTCTCTCCGAGCTGGAACATCATTTCTCCCGACAAGCAGTTACTCTTTTCTGGCCGATTTAGCTGAAGTCTCGCAACATCTCCCTTTGATATAAGGTCAATTCGACCTCCTGGCCATTTGTGGAGAATATCAGCCAGTTTTGGCGTGATCTATGCAGCAACCTTTTAAAAACAAATCACCATCGAATAAAGTATTTTACCAGCGACTTACATGACTCGAAGACAGCCGAGATGAAATACCTTGGAGGCGAAGAAGTCGACGGCAAGCTGACATTAGCTTCTTAAACAACACTTTTACAACAAATTTTTCATTGAACAGCTGCAACAATGGCTACCTTACTCCCCTTTCTATTTTCAGCTCGAGAGTCTTTTCTCCTCTGGGATTTTACTTGCCATAACGACAAAAGGGAATAGAACATTATTCGAGGTGAAAGGCATGCAAAGTGAATGACGTATGAGCTCACAGCCCCTGAGCCTTCGTTGTGAAGTAAAGCTGTTACTCTATGGTAAAAGCGTCATACCGTAAATGACTTCTACTCAGAGTAGGGCTCATTGTTGGCAGGCACCATCGCGGCAACCCACGAGGAGGTCAAAGGCACAGTTCATGATGGAAGTGGTTTCTAAGATATCCCGCTAAAATTAATCTGTGGCTCAAAAGAATAGTACATGGGCCGCTGTCCGGCCAAAATACGGCTTGGACAGAGCATAGCAAAGGCTTCAGAACTGGTTCGGCCGAAGCACACACTCGAAATGGCCGTGTTATGCCGACCCTGTTATTACTGCACATTCACATGACGAGACAAATAGAGCGCTCAAAAAAGAGACACCCAGACGGCCATCTCGTACAACCCCTCCTTTCTAATTTTTACAGAATGTTATGTTTTTTAAAATCCATAAATTTTGGAATTT